AATACTTGTCATATTTGCCTCATGTGTAAGCACCTTGTTTAAGTTCTTGTTGGCCATGTCTTAGTTGATATTTGGTGTTATTTTGCTATGATTTACCTCTATCCAAAGTTGGTTTAGACGTGCCATACATGCTATGTATACTTGTCTTGTAATCCCTCGATTTTGCCTTAACATGCACCTAGCATTTAGACCACTATGCTTACTTGTTTTGGCCTAGCTCCATGAAGCTTTTGGCCTTCTCTTGCCATGCTAAAGGTCTGATTTTGGTTGTTTGGGTCATTCATGACTTGTTTTGCATAGCTACCATGCAACCTAGCTTGTATGCTTTGAGTGTTGGCTCATCTACCATGCTCTAATTGCATCATTTTAGTGGTTTGGCACCATTAATTATAATATTTCAGTCCTTGTTTCATGCTCGTATGCTTGCATTTATAACTCCTTTAATGCTTTAAAGAGTTAGGGTTGCATGCCTCATGGATGTGTCATTGTGTATGCCATCATGTCTAGGCATTTGGGATGCCATCTAAGTGGGTTTTTGTGCTCATTTTAGTATGTCTTATCTCTGATTTGGTCGCCTAAATCATGCCATGTTTGGTTGTCATAGGCGTAGTGTAACACCTCTTTGGTGGCCTTGTATGCCTCATGCCTTGCTCCTTTTGTTTTAGCTTGTTTTAGCTTTGGCCATTGCATGTTTTAGGCTTACTTTGGCATGATTTGGAACTGTTTTGGTCCACTTTGGTCATTTGCTTCATGTGTCACATGATCATGGTTTGAGCCTTTGGACTAGTTTTCTGCAGGAAGAAATGGCCGGCCGGCAATCTTCAGTGCCGGCCGACTATCAAAACCCAGCTGGTGGTATAATTTTTGGTCGATGACCAGTTCTCCATGGGCCGTGGTGTTTCCCCTTGGTTGGTGACCTCCCACAGTGCTCAGGGAGTTTTCCAGAAGTAACCTTGAGACTTGTGCAGTCCTCAGAGGTGCAGATCAGTGTAAACAGAGGCAACATATGACATGGCGGTGGATTTCCGAGCAGGGCCAAGCGTGCATGCATTCGTCCCTCTTCCCGAGGCTGTTTTACTGCTTTTAGTAATTTAACTAATTTGTTTAATTAATTAATGGTCTGTAATATTTAATTAGCTTGTTAGTTAATTAATTTGTATTATTCATTCGGACCCTCCGAGAGAGGGCAATTTTGTAATAAGAGTGCATGTGTGTGGTGCATGTCTTCCAACCCCACACGTTTCTCCCTTTTACTTACCTGCTTTCAGTGGTTAGTTCTAGGGCACATTTCAATTAGCATCCTTATGCTATGCATGCTTGCATCATTCATCTGTATTGCATGCATCAAGTTCGGCGCATCATACTAACTGCATTGAATTTCGATTCCAACTTGAATACGTGCATTGAGTTGTTGCATTCCATATGCCACTTTAGATTAGCCGAGCCTATTCTAGTTGCATTTTGCCTGCGATGCCTTAGCCATCTTAACATGAACTAGGATCATGCATTAGCCTAGTTTATTGTTTTGGCTTGGAGTACTAGGTAAGCTTTTTATGCTTTAGCATCTTGCATGTGTGTAAATGTTAACATGACAGCATGCTTACCATGAGGTTATTTGCTTATGTGATATAACTGCCTGAATGCCTGTGGGTGAAGGTTAGATTGCTTGAATTGGGATAATTCATTGAAATTCGTGTTTTAGCCTACTTACAAGTAGCAAACTTCAAATCATTTTCCAAACAAACGGATATACGATGCTTTGTTCCAAATTAGGCGATCTAGTCTATACTTGTTTTGCTGCGCGCATCACATAGTAATTCTAGCTAATTAATCGGAATAAGAACGCATGTGTTTTCGAAAATGAGATATCATGTTTAGTAGTGGCCGATCTTTGATCGGGCGAGCGGGGGTGCTCATAGCTGACCTTCCCAATCGTACCCAAGTTCCCGAGCCGAGGCAACTTTGGTGATGACGGACATGTGGCCTTAGGCAACGAGTCAGGGTTTTCTAAATTTCCCAAAAATAAAATATTTAGGTGGCGACTCTGTATCTGGCAAAGCAGTCCATGTTTGGCACTTCTTTCTAAAAATCTGTTTTTCAAAACGATTTGCCGGATTTGGACTCTTTGGTGATTTATCAATCTCACATCGCACATTGTGAGATCAGATTAAAGACCATGACATTTGAGTCTGAACTGTAGTAAGCCCAATGAAAAAAACGGAATTCCCTCCCGGGACGTTCGGGGACGTCCACAGCACCACTACCTCATGTTGCAGAATGTGCCCTAGAAAGATAAAACAATTGGAACACAAAGACATCCATCAGTACATCTAATAATAGTTTTCGAAATTAAATTTTCACACATCCAATCTATATAACAAATTAAAACGTGACATATTAATATGCTTGGAAGAAAAATGAGAGCGAACAACAGATACGATACTCTACATATATTCTCACTAGGGGTCCAGATTATATGTGATCTGCAAAACCAACTGAAGAAATTCTCAAGAAGAAACATCGTGAAAAAGAACAATTAGAAGCAACACTCAGCCAATTCCACTGGACCAAAAATAAAGGGAAAAGGAAAAGAAAATAAAGAAAACAAAAGCTAAAAAATTTGAATATAAATGTCAATTGAAATGCTCAAACATTAGCGCTATTTGAAATGAAAAGCCACCAAGGGCCCTAACAATATATAACAACCAAATGCTAACCAAACCAAACCAAGCTTTAAGTCCCACCAAATGCTACTCATCCAAAAATGAATTTAAAAAAGAAAAAAAAAAGTAACAATAATATGCTGCTCTTCTGTTGATAGCAAATGAAAAGAAAAAAAGAGGCCAAAAAAGTGCATCACCCTTTCCAACCTGGCTCACTCGAATCAATACAAGAAACAATTCTCACTTAACTACCCTTCCACCTCTGCCACTCTGCTTTGCTTAAAAATTTGTAGGTTAGTTACACTTCGCCTCCTTAACTATCATTGAATATGATATTACCCAGCTCAACTTTAAAACTATACATTTAGTCTAAGAGGTGAAAGCAAAGCAATTTTGATAATTAAGGGGTCCAAATGTACAGTTATAAAGTTGAGGGGGGTAAAGTGTAATTGACCCAAAATTTGTACACAATAAAAAACTATTGACCTGCTTCATACTGGCAGAAAATAGCATATGGGAAACAAACCATAGATGAATTAAAGAGAGAAGATATCTTCAAGGACTCTTAAAGATGGGGAATTTTGTTTTTTTTTTTGTTTTTTTTTGTTTTTTTGGCTGTTGAGGTAAAGCCTAAAAAAATTCAGCTTCCATAAAATCAAAAACACGAGTTAAAAAAAAAATGCCGAATTAGTATCCATTAATGTGTGTTTGGGAGGGGAAACATTGGGTACACAACCATAATACACAAACTGCAAAGTATAAGGACAAACTGCAATGTATTCAAGAAACCAACAATACCACAACCAGAACACACAAATTTATGTCAAACACCTAGATAAGACAGATTTGACACGTAATTGGTAATAAGAAATTTACACAATCAAATGAGATTTGAAAACTGATGGATGCCAATTATCGCATAATATGCTGCTCCAAACTCAATAATCTTCTACGTGACTTCTTCCATCTCAAGTTATAAAGCTCACTAGAATCCTCATGCTGACTGGCCTACCATATGTGTGGCTACAAGCTAAATTTCAATACCATTACATGGATTGATTTTGAGATGAAATCATATCAAATTCACAAACCTTGGACCACAACAACAGCTATGAGGAATCACTATTTGATTTTGAATGAATTCTAGGTCAAAAGACAAGAACAAGAACATAAGCAGTCAAATTCAAATTCTTAATGGGTACATACTGCCTATTGAGATGGTTATGCAGATGTATACACAACTTCAAAGCAATTGAAAATAATATTACTCTACATAAAAGTAACAAGAAGCTTGAGGTGGGCTCAATCCTGACAATGTCTTTTTTCTAAAGTCCAAGCCTTGCCACAAATATAATATGGATTTTGAAAAGCATAGACATATACGTGAACTTAAAAGTCCAAACTGCAGACAGACATAATTTGTTTATGATTTTCTAAGCTACAAATTCATTGGGGAATCTACACACTAGGCTCCTAAAAGAAATTACATTGTTCCCCTTTATCCTTTTCCTGTATATCATTTCAACTTAAAATATATTTCAAATTGTTCACTAGTATCATTCAATTCTTTGAAAAATAGATTTAGAGGACTCGTTAAGATTTCATCATAAGATGGTTTTTCTGGGTGAAAAAAGAAAAACGAGAAATTAGGACTTCATTGGGATTGTAGAATTTTGAAAATACATAATTCGAAGCCAAGCCTATAGGATAAAGCACACAAGTTTGGCATCATGAACATTTCATTGCAACATCACTTTTTTTTGTTGGTAACTTGAGCAGGCTCAGAGCACTTGTCTCTTTATTGGATGAATGTAGCCTACGCTGTTGGGAAATGTTGCACACCACGGGAGAAAGTTATGTTTCATTATACAAACTTTGCATAAGCCTATTAAAGCAATTCTAGATAGCCACTAATCTAATAGATTCATCATTACCCTTCATATTGCTCATACCAGTGTCCAAGTACCATTCAATTTTCTTTGTTTCATCTTGACAAAATGTGAAATTTAGTCTATCAACGTTGTTTCCCACCTAGGAAACATATTGAAGATCACTCTTTTATAGACTAAATTTCAAACATATTGGTGATCACTCTTTCATCTATGTTATGATCACTCTTTTATTGTTTGAAATTTGACAAAGTATTCAATAGAAAGACAAACTTTGGAAAGCATAAAGAACGGAGATTACTACACTTCGAATTATAGTTCCAACTTCAATGAATAGGAAGGGCACAATAAACATGGAAATAATTAAAGATATTGTATATAAAAAGAAAGAAACTTTGAAATAGCAAAAGATATAACTAGAATTTGTATTACCTCTTCTTCTCATTCCTTAATTATTAAGGCCAATTGGCACCTTCATAAAATCATCAGGTGATACTAAGCTCTCTTGGCAGGTTTCCACTTCGTGAAAATCAGGAACACTATAAATGGAACGATACTTGACTGTATGTCTTATGAGATCATAAAGGACCAATGTCCCACCACAATTCACCAAAATTTCACCATCCTTGAAATACCACAAAGGCTCTGACCACAGAACAGGCCTTTGTTGCGGCACATATGTCATACTGACCAATTTAGTCCATGACTCTTTCTTACCATATTCATTCACTACCCACACATTACAAAAAGTAAAAGTATCCTCACAAACAACACAGAGATTTACTTTCAAAGCCCAAACTAATAACCTAGAAAACTCCTTCCCGTAATTAGGTTGTGGAATTTCTCTGTATGTCTCCTCTACTAAATCAAGAGCTGTGACAACCCAAGAGTGATCACTAGTGTTGATTCCAACCCAATTGAGTGATCCATTCACAAGCTTACCTGAATCCATAGAATGAAAACCAATTATATTGCTAGGAAAATCTTGAATCTTCCTCCATGAATCAGTCCTTAAGGAATAAATCTTAACTTCAAGTGAATCATTAAAATTATTGATCCTAACCACCTTGCAATCATCATTGGGCGAGTCATATCCAACGCCATAAGAAATGGAAAGAATAAATCCTTTTCCAAAAGATGGCAAAATTTTGTGTTTTCCAATTGCTGGATTCCGTATATAAATGATGTCATCATAATTTTCAACAAAGTAAACACATATCAACCCATCACATGAGCCCCCAATCCTAGCATCTAGGCGCAGAGTCTTTAATGGGTAATTGAGATTCACTGCATAGCCATAGGGCCCATCAAAAAACGAGTCCAGAGAACATGATTTTAGCTTGTGAAACGGATATCGAATGATGATCCTCCATGGGTTGATGGTGTCATCCTTCGTTACGAGACTGAGGTGCTTTTTCATAAATTATGGCCTAGATATCATGGTTCACAAAGACTTGCATGCACTTCTGGACTGAAGCAAAGACTTGACAAGTAATCGCAATAGAATTTCAAGGATGAGTTCTGGAAGGAGTTCAGGCAATTTGAGTGAATTTCCATCTAAAGTGAATACTAGTTTTTTTCTTGAGTTCCTTTAGGTGATTGTTGAGTTAAATCGCTATTGACAGTGGCCATGAATTGCAATGGCAATGGCGATGGATGAAAGTGATCTAGGTTTTTGAATTCGGGGTTTATTTTTAAATCTTGAATAAAAAGGGAAAGAATTGGTAGCGAAAAGGAATGTGGGAATCTGAGTGGGTAACTTTGGCTTAAATCCTATGGGAACAGTACTGCCAAAGGATGACACCCAAAAGTAGCCAATCAGGTTCGGGGTTTAGTTGTCCGTTGAGCAAACATCCACCTATCACTCAAGTCGTATTCACACCCATGTATGAGTTGGCTTGGGTCCTAAATAGCTTCTCTCTACTATACTAGGTTTCACCAATACCAATATTGTCATGTCATTGTACATTATCGCATGAAGTGCACAAAAAAATCAAGCAAACTAGTTTGATTGAACAAATTTTGCTAGTTAAATTTACACTTTTTTATCGACAATGAAATAAATTAATTTTAACCAAAACGAAAAAAGGAAGTATAAACAAAGACAATATGTCCTTGAAGAGATTAAAAGAAAATAAAGTTACAAATAACACACCACTCTCCAATCACTATTGATCAAATACAAAGGGTGACATATAACATATTTTGTCCTAAATCTCATCAAACTTGTTTTTAAACATTCTTGCATCTCCTTCCAACTACACCTCCCAAAACATAGTGCAAACTTCACACCCACAAAGAACTCGTGCCTTCCTACTTTAACCAAACCCCCCAAAATGAACATTACACATGTGGGTACAAGAAAGTGGAACTACTTAATGCTCTTGCACCACATGAAATAGGCTCCACCATAATGCCAAATTGATAACACAATGTAGGAATATATTATCATTGTTTTCCTCATCTCTTGCATACAATACATCACATTGTGGAGATAACAAGCAATTAGGTCTCCTACTATGAATAATGCCATTGGTATTGATCTTTTTGTAAGCCACAAACCAAACAAAAACTTTGACTTTTAGAGGAACATATGCAACCCAAATCATCTTACAAGGCTCAAAGAGTGGCGCATTTATATTCTCAATGACTGTCAGAAAAAGAATATAGAAGAAAAAAGACCTGAAGTGTGATCAATACACAATTTCTTATCAACACAATCATGCATCACTGAAACACCACCAAGAATAGATAACAAAGAAGTCAACTCATTACACTCACGATCAATGATAATTAAGACTTCTAAATAATTGAAATTCCTGGAGATTGGAACAAACAAGAAAGGACTATGTCATAGAAGCAATGGGAGCATTCTGAGAATGGGATAACCAACATAATCAAGTGAATGAATTATCAAAAGAAACATCCCCAACCCAAACATCATCCCAAAAATGAATATTCTCCCTATTTCCCAAAACAAACAAAACTAAACCTTGAGAAATGCATTTTTTTAGGAGAACGCAAATTTCCCTAATTTACCACTCTAGCATCCCACCTAGTAGCTTGAACCCTGTACTTGATTTTAGTGATAGAATAAAATAGAGAAGCAAATTCTATGGGAAACATACATAGGCACTTGGCAAGTAAGGCTTCACTTTTAGCAACAATATTACAAACAATAAGACCCCGTTTCTTCTTTGGGAGTGTGGGGGCCGAATAATTATATACTAAGGAAGCCAAATTTATTTGAAGGAAAATCAGGACAAAGATGATTCAGGTTTGTCCAAAGGGGTCCTGAAGCCAAATATTTAAATCGGCCATGCAATCGGCCACACAAGGAGCCGAGTAGGAATTGGCATAAGATAGAAGGCCGACTAAGTAATCATGCGCTGGATTAAGAGTGGGCCCGAACCTTGGGACCAGATACTAGTATAAATAAGATGGACATCAACCAAATAAAGGTATCTAAGAATAGATTAAATTACTTGAGATAGAAGAAAATTGGAGAGCATACACTAACTTGTCTGTCGGAGGGCTAATTCCAGCACCCTCGACCAAAATGTTCATCCTTTTTCAGGTGGCAATAAGAGGATAAAGAACGTCTTACAGGTTCTTGGAATATTTCCAAACCACTTCTCCATAATTGGCGCCGTCTGTGGGAAAACTCAAGCACATCCATGGCGGGCGTAACAGATGATCCTTCTGTAGTCGCTGATGACATTATGCCAAGGGATGACATCACTCCAAGAAATATGCTTGGACCGGAGAAAATCACCGCACGATAGGCCTTGAACTTCGACTCAGTACCCCAGACCTCACCCTCGACATTAGTGCATGAGAATGCAGACGATTATGGATCAAGCAAAGCAAAATGAACAGCAGCTGGAAAACATGATGACTGAGAATGAGCGCCTGTGCTAGGATTTAGCCCTGGAGGTGGCAAAATCCCAACAGGCAGCATGCCAAGACCGGGGTCGACTTTCGGGAAAGAAGGTTGGTCGACAACGTAGACTTCGAAAACATGATAATGACAGTGATTCTGACTTACCATCCCCGGAACCCAGAAAGAAGGGAGGAGTTGATGTATCCAGCTCATCTGAAGGAAGTCCGTATGTACGGCAGAAGCAAGGGAGAAGAAGTGATGATTTGGATGAAGAAGATAAGCATGACCCTTTGTGGACTCGCATTTTTCCGCGCCCCTGCCTTTTGGAAAGGGTTTGAAAAGAAGGCCTCACAATTTGGACTGTCACGGTGGTGAATCTAGTCTCACAAATGCAATGTGAAACTGATAAACACCAAAGAGTCCAAATTTGTCAAATCATTTTGGAAAATCGATTTTCAATCAAATAATGCCAAAATTGGACTGTTTTGCCAAATTACAGAGTCGCAACCTAAATATTTTATTTTTGGAAAAATTTAGGAAACCCTAACTCATGCCAAATGCCACGTGTCCGTCATCACCAAAGTTGCCTTGGCTCGGGAACTTTGGTACGAGAGGGGAAGGTCCTGAAATGAGCACCCCCATTAGCCTGATCAAAGATCGGCCTCTACTAATCATGATATGTTCTTTTATATATATTATGTGTTCTTGTTTTGATTATTAAACTAGCTTTACTGTGTGATGCACACAAGTATAGACTAGTCGCGAGACTTGGAACAATTCAACTCGTGTTTGCTTTCGAAAATGGTTTGAATTCGCCACCCTCAAGTGGGCTTCAAGACGCGGATTTGCCACCAAACATAGTGGGCTTAAAACATGATTTGCCACAACAAAGTGGGCTTCAAACACACATTTGTTGAATCGTTCCAATTTAAACAACAAAGCCTTCATCCACAGGCATTCATGCAATTTAGCAAGTAAGCACATAACTATATGGCAAGCATGCAAAGCATAACAATATGGCAATCACACTCATGCAAGTATGCTGAAGCATAAAACTAACCAAGTGCTCCAAGCCAAAACAAAAACTAGTTAGAAAAATGCATGATCGTAACAATACAAGATGTCTAATGCAACACATGCAATGATGTAACTAAATTGGCTCGGGTACTTAATCTTGGTATTTGCAACACTATGATAGCATGCTTTGAAACACATATTCAAAGAAGTATTGAAATTGCAATGCAGTTTGAATGATGCGCCGAGCCTCGGTGCACACAATACAAATGAATGGATGAAAACAAGCAAGCATAAGGTATGCTAATTGAAAATGTCCGTAATCTAACCATCGAAAGTGGCTAAATAAAAAGGAGAAAGACGTGGGGTTGGAAGACATACACACACACGCACACACACTTATTCCAACATTATGCCCTCACCAAGGAGGGTTCGAATGAATAAACTAACTAGCTACGCTAATTAAGCTAACCATTACAAAACAAAACTACTTAACTAACTATTTGTAAGCTAATCATTACAACAATTGAAACAAATTAATTAAATTATTCTAAACTAATTAAAATATTACAAAACGGAATTGAAGAATTAGTTACACTAACTAATTAAGTACAACACTTGAATTAACTAGCTATTTGAAGCTAACTAAATCAATTAAATGGCCACGAAGGCAAGGGACGCATGCATGCTTGGTTGGTTTCCTCCCGAAAATCCACCGCCTTGCCATTGCAGCCTTTATTTGCACATTTTTGATCACCAACAGTGCTACCAACTTCCAGAATACCTCTGGAGCACACTTGTGCAATTTTTCATTGATGGTCGGTCGGCTACCAATGGTGCCCGTCGGCTACCATTGGTGGTCGGTCTGCTTCCATTGGTGGCTAGTCGGCTTCTACTGGTGGCCGGTCGGCCACCCCTGCCCCAAACTTCTTTTTTGGCTACAACAAAGAGCAAACAGAGGCAAAGCAACGTATTCTCAAGGTTTGTATGTACTGTTACTCTCCTTATCATTACCCAAGTTCAAAGGAGTGTAACTCTTGGTCCTCAAACCATCAACCAAGCATTTTCAACGCATAATGGCTAAGGAACCAAGCTTGTACAAGCTTAATGAATGCACAAACAAGACTAAAACAAAACCACTACTCTATCATGCAAGATCAAGGGTGATGGTGACCAAGGAAAGTGGCACGTTTCATCACTTTGAGTATGAAACGTCCCATTTTCCTCGTGTTCGAGTTAACGTCCGATCTGAACACATGTAATGCAACACGAAAGATGCTTTATCTTGCCTTTTTTACATGTTCATTTTTGTTTACTCATTTTAGCTTACCAATCCATTCTTTAATTGATTAAGTCCAAGGTGAGTGTCCTCTAATGGAAAGAGGGTTTAAACCACAAGTGCCTTGAGCATGAAAGAAACCTCATGCCATTGATAATGAACTCCCGAAGGAATTAAACCATTAAGCATAAATGTCTCAATTTCACACTTAAGCCAACAAGGGGTTCAAAGCCACTTTCAAAAC